ACAGAAGGTTCTTTGTGCAGTGAATTAATTCTATTATTAGCCTCTGTATTATAAAACATGCTTGCTCTAATGATAGGGAAAATAAGCTTAACTGTCTGACCTTGCAGACCGCTCTGCTGCTGTCCCTAGCTACCCCCAGGCCAGGTGCCTGTTAGTGATCTGTGCTCAAGGCTGCGAGCTTCCTGCGAGACATCTGCTAAGCACACAGAGGGCTCTTTTGAAAACTTGCAAAAGGGACCGGCAGCCCCCTATTTAGGAGACAAAGACATTAGAAGAGATATAAAAGGAAAGTTTCCACCAGGTTGCTTTGCTCAGAATTTGAGAGACAACCTCCTGAGTCCTCCGGTGTAATAAAGCTGGGTAACACCATTTCTCTAAGCGTCGCTTGGTTTTTCTCCGGTCTTCTATAACACCTAAACCCCAAAAGCTCCCGCCTGAACACTGGCTCCCTCCAAAGCGGCCCCACCTCTAAGCTGGAAGCTGGAAGCCTGGACCCCTGCAGGCATCACCCAGATGGGGCCTCGCTCCCAGGAACTTTCTGAAGCTCCACTATTGAGGGCCTACTGTGTCCCGGGCTGCTGGGCCCCTTCCCAAGGGCCCCCAGGGAGTCAGGACTGTCTGATGGCGGGGAAACAGGTATAATGGCCGCCAGAACCAGAAGGCACCCTCAGACTGAAAGACAAGGCAGGTGACGCCAATAGAACACAGCAGAACTTATTGTAGGGTGACTGACTGACAGGAAAATTGGGTCAGACACCAGCAATCCTGCACAGATTATTCTCCACTGCCAGCTATCGGACCATTACAGTGCTGTTTGTACAGGCGACTGCAACAGGAGTGTTAGGGGCATAAAGGGAGGCTTGGGGGGTTTTAGAATTGAGGTCCATGGAAAAACACGGAGCTACAGATTGGGAGAAGGTACACCTCCATCACACAAGGAAGGGAGGGGCAGGGGGCAGACAACACTGGCTCCCTTGTCCTATGTCCCTTTACATAGGACAAGGGAGCTGGGAGTAGCCACAAAGGTCTACACTTACAAAATGAATAAGGGAGCCAGAAAGGAAAGAGAAGAGGAGGGCTTCGATTGCATTGTAAACAAATGTATGACCGTGCCACTTTGGAATTCTGTCATTGGACAGCCCTTGCCTTAATTTGGTGCATTTCTGTTTCTAGAAAAACCCATGAACAGGATTCTGACTTACTCTGAATTGCAGGCTCCTAAGCAGGGCATATGTTTGAACTAAAAGGTGCTAGTAAGCCAAAACTGGTTTGGCTCAGTGGATAGAGCATCGGTCTGTGGACTGAAAGGTCCCGGGTTCGATTCGGGTCAAGGGCATGTACACTGGTTGCGGGCACATCCCCGGTTGGTGGTGTGTAGGAGGCAGCTGATTGATGTTTCTCTCTCTCATAAATGTTTCTAGCTTTCTCTCCCTTCCTCTCTGTAAAAAATCAATAAATTTTTAATAAATAAAAGATGTTAGTAAAACTTCAGGAAATAATCAGAAACAATAACAAAAATATAAATTAGCATACCCGAATAAAATAAGCCTTAAAAAGTAAAGTTTAAAGATCTCTTCCACCAATACACACCATTAATAAAAAACTAAAGAGGTGTGCCTTTGTAGTTCCCTGTAAAGTCAACCAGCATATCCCTCTCCCGGAGACACAACCAAGGCGGTTGCCCAGTTTAAAAGGTGACATGTTTAAGGTTTGAGAATAAAACAGCAGAAATGAAGGGTCAGTAAAAGCCAAAGGTGAAGCCAGGGAGCAGGGAGTTTAAAATATAAATTCAGGTAGAGGATGAATCCTTTACCGACGAGGGCACACAAGGGGTGGGTGTAGGACTCTCTTTCAGGTCCTGCGTGGAAAGGGTTCCAATTCAGGGATCGGGTCCAGGAGAAGGGCCGCACACAAATGAAGAGACTTGAAGAAATTCAACTTGGCGATATGGGGGCCAGGCGGTAGTCCAACTCTAGTGCGAGAACTACTTCTGCTCTGGCCCTGCCATCCCTTTTATTAAGGCTTTGGGGAAAACATCTTAGGCAACATAAACAGAAATTTACATGTAGCCCTTAGGCAGGAACTAACAGAAACTTAGATGGGACAAACAAGGTGGAGGCTGCTTCAGCTAACAATGTCTCAACTAAAGGGTGGGTGGTTAGAGCAATGAAGGTTGTTGACCAACCAGCCTTCCTGGCTTCCTGTCCACATCTCTCTATTAGTGAAACTGATTTGTTTCTGGCAGGTGGGGACCCACGCTGTTTATACTTTTCCTGGAATCCCGGGTATTGGCCAAACCAGGGTTCGGGGGACAGTGTAAGTAAGCTCTCTGAAGCCCTCATCCTAGAGCAGACCTCTCGGAGATCCAGTTCAGTGGATACTGAAGGGTCCCGGGTTTGATTCCGGTCAAGGGCATGTACCTTGGTTTCGGGCACATTCCCAGTAGGGGGTGTGCAGGAGGCAGCTGATGGCTGTTTCTCTCTCATGGATGTTTCTAACTCTCTGTCCCTCTCTTCCTCTCTGTAAAAAATAAAATAAATAGAATGAAAGGAAAGCACACTAATGGATGGCTGGCTTCCCAGAGGCCTGTCTCACTATACTTCACTGTTACACATGCCTGACATGTACCCCTCGTTCCAAATGCCCCCTTTGAAACCTGTCGATGGGATATGTCCACGGCAAACTCCCTCCTGATATCAGAACCGGTAAAACTAGAGGCAAAGCACCATGTGCTCTGCTACTGGAAACTCGGCTCTGTGGTCCTGACCGCGGGCGGTGAATAGGGAAGTTGGCCCGGAGTGTTATTTGATTCCCACAGTGAAGGAGAGATCCCAGCCAAGCTCAGCCCCAACCGGACAGTCCGGACTTCATGAGGCGCCTGGGAAGGAGTGGTGTGCGTGTGCATGTGTGTGTGTGTGTGTGTGTGTGTGTGTGTGTGTGTGAAGTCTCCAGAGAGTGGCCCCAAGCTCAGAGACACTCCCAAGGTGGGGGTGGTGGTGGCAGCGGATTCGGCTGCTCCTATGGACGGAAGGAGACACATGCTAACCTGACAAGCTCAGGGGAGGCCTGCATGGCAGTCTTGCAAACTCAGAGACCTAAAATAACCACAAAAGATTGTTTGTAAATTAAATATTTAACTACAAACAGGTTATAGTGGTTAGTCATGTCCTAGGCCGATATTTTCCCTGACAAAGACCAACCCAGATCTTCTTTACTGAGCCCATTTGCCTTCCTGCCTCTAAGATAACGTATTGGTGAGATGTCTGGGTAACTTGTACTTTCCCTCCCCTACTCCCTTTAGGGAACAACAAATGGCACCAGGACATTCCCTTGTTGTTATTGTTATCAAGTTAATTGTCAACTGTTAATTACATGTTTTAAAAAATATATATTTTATTGATTTTTTTTTTTTTACAGAGAGGAAGAGAGAGGGACAGAGAGCTAGAAACATCAATGAGAGAGAATCATCGATCAGCTGCCATTGCACACCCCCACCGGGGATGTGCCCCCGACCAGAATCAAACCCGGGACCCTTCAGTCCACAGACCGACACTCTAACCCCTGAGCCAAACCGGTTTCGGCTAATTATGTTTAAAGTATCCTGTATCCATCTCTGTAAAAGAAGCTCATGTCCATCATTTCACTTTTCCCCGCTTCGCTCTGTCCCACCTCCCTAAGCTATCACCAATGGATTTCATGTAACTCCCCTACGTCCCTTTCCTTTGATTGCAATGTATAAATATAGATGTAATCCCGCATTCTGGGGAGCATATCTCAATTCACTGAGGTTCTGCTTCCCCGCATATGTCGACAGTTTGGCTCAGATAAACTCACAAAAATTCTTTACAGGTTTCAATGTTGTTTTTTTTACATTAATACTCCTCTAATCCCCTCCCCCCACTACCCAGACCTGCACCCCGGCTCCCGGGCTCCCGGCCCCCTCCAGCCCAGGGTGTCCTGGCCGCCGCGATGGCCGAGTTCTGCCCGCGGCCGCCGGCCGGCCCAGGGACCTCCCGCTGCTCCACAGTCTCTGCGGCTCCCGCAGTCCGCAGGCAAGTGCAGGGCTCCGAGGGCCTGGCCGCGCCCAAGACCCGGGTCCTTTTTCAGGTTCGCTCTCCGTCCCCCTTCCTCCCTCCTCCCCCCAAATGCCTGAGCCGCCAGGTCTTGTGCCCCCGCCCCACCCGGCACAGGGGCGGGCAGGCGGGAGCGCGAAGGCCGCAGGAGTGTCCAACTAGTGAGCCGTGTCCAAGCCTGCAGCTTGGCGGGTCCAGGCGCTTTGGCGGCCGTGTCCCCATTACACAGACGGGGACACTGAGGTCCGGCGGCGCAGCCGGCATCCGAACCAGGTGCCAGGTTCCCGGGCCCCGTCCGGAGCGAGCGCACCCACGTCCCTCCCAGCCAGCGGGCACGGGGTCCCGGGTTCGCGGTCCGGCTGCCGCGAACACCCCGATCTCTCCTAACGGAGCGGCGCGCGGGCGGGCGCACCAAGCGCACTCTTTGTCTCCTCGCCCGCGCCGCCCGCACCGCCCCCGCCACGTCCCGCGCCCCGCCCCCCGGCCCGCCCGCCAATGGGGCGCGCCCGCCACGTCCCTGCGCCCCGCCCCCAGGCCCGCCCGCCAATGGGGCGCGGCGGCGGCGCGCAGGCCTCGGGGCGTTGTCCGCACCCCGCCCGCCCATTCGCTGCGCCCCTTCCCCCCTCACCCTGCCGGCCGGCCGGGGGCGGGGCGCGCGGCCCGAAGTGAGGGACCCGGGGCCGGGCGCACAGCCTCGAGGGCGCGCGAGCCGGCCTGCGGGAGCCTCTGCGGGGCCAGAGCCGCGCGCCCAGCCGCCGCCGCAGCCGCCGCCGCCGCCGCCGCCGCCGCCCCCGCCCCGCTCAGGCTCCGCGCCAGGAGGCGGCGGCCAGACCGAGCCTCTGCCGGGCGAGCCGGGCGCTCCGACGGCGACCTGCCCCGCACCGGGCCCGCCAAGGAGAAGGGGAAGGACGCGGAGCAAGGACGGCCATGGCCCTGGACTTCCTGGCGGGCTGCGCGGGGGGTAAGGAGCCGGCGGGTGCGTGCCGGGCGCCGGGGTAGGAGGTGGCTCACCTGCGTGCGCCCGGCCGGCGGCGGGCGCTGCGGCCCGGACCTCCCCTCGGTAAACCGGGATGATGGCAGAGCTCTCCTCCCCGGGCTCCCGTGGGCGTGCATTGACGCCGGGCCGGGAGCTGGTGTTTGCAAACCTCCGAGGCGCGTTCGGACAGGAGTTCTGGGCCCGCGGGCAGCCCTGGTTTGGCGAAGCCGGGCCGGGCGGGGTGGGCCACCAGGAAGGTGCTTCGCCGCCCCCTGCGCCCTCCCCGCCGGAGGCCCCTGGGTTCCTGCAGGTGTCCTGGGAGTTCGGGGTTCAGGGTAGGAATCCTCGACCCTCAGCTCCATCCCATCTGGAGCGGGGTCCGCGCTCTGGGCCCCAGGAGTTCGGGGCTGGCTCCTCCTCCTGCAGCCTCCCGGGCGGAGCAGGGGGCCGGCGCCCACCCGCGGGCTGGCCTGTGAGCGCTGCCCCTGCCCACCTCTCCCCGTGAGCTGCTGGAGGCTCCGCCCGGGGCAGAGCGGGCCTGGCACGCCCCGGGGCTAGCGCTCGGGCTTACTGGACGTGTCTCCCCACGCGGGACACCTTCACGGAGGCCGGGCCTGGGTCCGGGTGCGCCCCGGCCTGCTGTGGCCCTCCCTGGTTGCTTTCGGCCTCTCCGCTTTGGCTTGGAGAGTTGGTTTAGCCAGCAGGCATGCATTGGGAGCCGGGGTTAGCCGCGGGGATTTGGCGATGAGCTGGCAGGCCCTGCCTCCTGGGCAGAGAGAGGGGTGGCGGGGTGTCCCAGCCCCTGATCTCCCGCTTCTCCCCTCCGCACCTGCCAGCGGTGGGCACCCCGGACGGAGGAAGCCTTAAGCTCCGGGTGAGAGAAGGCTGAGGAAGGCAGTGCGGTGTGTGGAGGGATTTAAGAACTTACCAAGCTGTTACCCAGTCAGGTCTCAGGAGACCACAGACGAGAGTCTCAAAAGCGGGCAGAAACCCCAGAGTTCCCAATAGGCCAGCGGAGACTTTGTCCTGGCCCAGGCTGCAGAGGGAACAGCAAGGAGGGCCTCTGCCCGTCCAGCTCTCACCCTCCACCCTCCTCGGATCTCACTCTGCTCATCTTTCCCTTCCCTGATGCCTGACCCCCTCTGCGGTCCCCATCCCCCCACCCTGGGGTGGCTCCAGAGGGTGGGGCTGTCCCAGGGCCAATGCCCTTTTCCACTTCCTGGGGAACGTGGGTTCTCTCCCCAGAGGGGCAGGTTCCTTCTGCTTTCCTGCAGGCGCCCTGGGAGTTTGGGGTTCCGGGTAGGAGTCCTCGTCCCGAGCCAGGCCTGCTTAGAGATGTCCCGACACTCTGGGCGCTTGCTCTGGTGGCGTCTCTTCCCAGAATGCCTTTTGGCCCATCCTCACCAGGCCCTCCTGGGAGAGGCCGGGGATCCAGCGGCCTGCTGAGCTGTAGGTGCTTCACCAGGTGTTCCACGTCTCCCAATGGGGGCACTGTCCACTGGGGTCCCTGTGCCAGCACAGGGTGGGTGGTTCCACCTGCCTCCCTGCTGTGTGAGCGAGGCCTGAGCCTCAGGTGGACGAGGATGGAGGCAGCTGCCGGGAGGGAGGGGTGCAGAGGGTCAGTATGAGCCGTGGGGGGACTAGTACAAGATCATACTGCCCTCTCCTACCACACGGGTAGGCAGGCAGGTCCTCTCCCCTTGAACCCATGCAGCCGTGGCCCCTGGCACGGCCTGGGCCTTGCAGGGAGGCGGCAGGAACCATGTACAGGGGACACTTCCCCCTCAGAGCCTGGCCCCCAGGGGTCCCTGTCTGGCTGCCCAAGGCCTGGAGGCTCAGGGCAGATAAGGTCAGTGCTCCTCCTCAGTGGTGGGGTCCCCTAGCTCCTGATTTCCCAGTCGGGGGGCGGGGGTGGGAAGGGGGGGTGCAGACAGCACACAGGGTGGTTTGTCCGAGGGTGGATCTCCTGTTCAGCTGGCTCTTACAGAGGCCAGGCGGGATCTTGATTGACAGGCCTTGGGGGGCTCAGAATGCCTGCCTGCTCTCCCGGCCAGGGCCAGCTCAGGGCTTCTGCCTGCTTAGACCCTGGCTCTGGTTGGGGGTCTCCCTGCCGGGGGCATGGGTAGGAGGAAGTGCAGAGAAAAGTTCTATGTGGGCAGCAGGGGGGGCTGCTGCCAGGTGCCTTCAGGATGGTATTCCCTCCGCCTTTCTGGGCGGTCATGGGTGGGAGGGTCCCTGAGAGTCAGCTTTTGGGGTCACTGGCTTTGGAGTTGGAAGACAGGGCTCATTTCTGTCGCTGCACCGAGGCCTCAGGGTCCTCTCCAGGAGCTGGCCCAAGAGGCCCCCTGGCTCTGAGATGACTGTGAGGGTAACAGGAGGAGGCTCTGGGGGCCTGAGGCCCTGATGCAGGCAGCCCCGCGGCCCACTCTGCGCCTGCAGGTGCTCTGGGCGAGGGCGCGGAGACCATGCAAATGTCTGCCCTCGCTCACCCTGCCTGGGACCTGCCAGCAGAGGCCAGTGGCTGAGGGTCTGCGCTCCCCCATCCCAAAGGCTGAGGCCGGGTTAGGGTTAGGCTGAGCTCCCGTGCTCCCAGCATTTGCATCCCTGGGACCGAGGCTGGGCCCGGCACAGGAGCTCGGGGGCCGGAGGCAGAAGGAAGGCCCATCAGCACCCCACGGGCAAGTGCTAGGTGTCCAGAACACCCCAACTCCAGTCACAGCTGAAGAAGAGAGGTTCTAGATGTAGGACTTTCAAATTCAAAACGTGAAATGGAAAAAAACAAAACAAAACGAGGCTGATCTCAAACCACAGAAGCTAAGTGTGTCTCAGGACCAGAGACTGTGGGAGCCTGTCTCCTCACCCACCTGCGGGCAGGCTCCCGGAGGGGAGGATGAACGAATAAAAGTGGAAGTTTCCTCTGATCACAGAAAGGTGCGTCTGCAGAACGACAGGGCCGGGGCAGTGCCAGGCAGGGCTGTTTTGAAAAAAGGCACACACCCTTGGCACCCTCAGTGGCATTCCTGCAGTCCGCGATACAATCTCGGGCTTCCGGTCCAAATAAATCAGTATTGACAGGAAAGGCCTGGGAGCCAGGGGACCTCCGGGGCACCGCCCCCCCTTCGCACCTCGCCCCAGAACCTCCGCAGACACAGAACCGTTCCCTGGCGGCCTTAAAAACATGGCTTTTGCAGGAGAGTTGGATTCAAGGGGGCATTCCCTAGTGGGTTACAGGATTTGAATCCTGGCTCCACCATTTAAAAAATATATGCATGTTATTGATTTTTTACAGAGAGGAAGGGAGAGGGATAGAGAGTTAGAAACATCGATGAGAGAGAAACATCGATCAGCGGCCTCCTGCACACCCCCTACGGGGGATGTGCCCGCAACCAAGGTACATGCCCTTGACCGGAATCAAACCCGGGACCTTTCAGTCCGCAGACCAACGCTCTTATCTACTGAGCCAAACCGGTTTCAGCAATAAAAACATTTTATTTTATTTATTTTTTAAAAATATATATTTTATTGATATTTTACAGAGAGGAAGGGAGAGAGATGGAGAGCTAGAAATGTCGATGAGAGAGAAACATCGACCAGCTGCTTCCTGCACACCCCCCACCGGGGATGTGCCCGCAACCAATGTACATGCCCTTGACCGGAATCAAACCTGAGACCCTTCAGCCCGCAGACCGACGCTCTACCACTGAGCCAAACCGGTTTCGGCAATAAAAACATATTTTTAAAAAATCCTAGGGAGGAAAGCATGGCCGTTCCTCAGTCTTCCTGAGCCTCAGCATTCCCACTGGGAGGCGGGGTACCAAGGCGGGGTACCGGGAGGCAGCCTCCACGGCAGACAGCGCTTGTGAGCCTTTGTCCCTCGAGGGGGTCTGGATGTTGGCAGGGCTTGGGCCGACACACCGCCGGGCACCACCACCCACCACGTCACCAGCTGTTCCCTGGGCATCGGGCGGCTCCTGCTGGGGAAGGGCCATGGACCAGGTCCTGGGTGGGTGTCTCCCGGGAATCCCTGGGGGGAGTCGATGCTCACACCGAGGCTGACTCCGCGGGGAGCGCAGGCCCTGAGCCCTCTGTGGGCGCGGCCAGCTGGTGACAGAGGGGAAACTCCTTTCTGAGCGAGGGTCCAAGTCCAACATTCCTGGAGTCCCCTGCCAGGGCCGGAGTGTCGGGAGCGGTGGGGCCATCTCAGAAATAGCAGGTGCAGCCCCCCGGGGGACATGTTTCAACTGCGCGAACAGCAGGTGAGGGAGGGACACCAGCATTGAGTTGGATAGATCCTGGCCTGACCTTGGGGATGTCACCCTCCCGTGCTCGCTCTCTCCCCCACTCCTACCCCCCAGCCATGAGGATTAAGGGGCTCCCAGAGGAACCCCGGATCACAGCAGATACTGGCCTCCCCGTAGCTCCACCCCCCCGGCAGGTGTCTGAGCCATCTGGGCCTCAAGTCCCCCTCTCTTCCCCCAGGTGTGGCAGGCGTGCTGGTGGGACACCCATTTGACACGGTCAAGGTGAGTCTCTGGTGGTGGTTTTAGTGTCGGGGCCTGTGGAGGCCCAGGCAGAGGACAGAAGCCTGCAGGGTCGGGTGGCTGGGGCTCCTCTCGGTGCCCATCTTAGGGACCCCTCAGGGTTTTCCCACGGGCTCTAGGGTAATGTGGGGTGTAGGGTCTCTGTGACACCAGATGGGCCAGCATTTACCCACCGAGCCGAGTGGGCCGTGCTCCTGGGTCTGCCCCACATCTCCCAGGGGGGCGGCCCGACCAGGTCCGTCCTGGGGCTCGGCAAGGTTGAGACCAGAAGTGGGGGGGGCAGTTTCCCCTTGTGGAGAGCAGGGATCCCACTGTTCTTACAAAACTCCCCCAGACCGCTTCTTAAACAAAAGCTCAGGGAGAAAATACGGAAATACAGAAAAATCCAAACTGCTCAGGATTCCCCCGTAAGGGGATTGCCGTGGTCGAGACGTTGGGTGAGGTCTCCCGGGCAGGTGCATATCGGTGGGTGCTGGCGGGCGGTCTGCAGCAGGCCCTGCGCCCCGAGGAACCCGGGTTCCAGGTCCCCAGACTCGGAGCGGACACCAAGCAAGTCCATGTCCTCCCTCCAGAGTCCCAGCTCAGATGTTCCCTGCGGTTGGTTCGGGTTTTACACCCTTGAACGAGCCAGGTCAGGGCCCGACCTTATCTGCTCCCCCGGGAGCCGGGCGGCTGCTGGACGCGGCAGGGCACAGGGCAGCCTGTCCTCTGTGAGCACTGCCCCGCGGGGGAGGGCAGAGCTCGGGCAGGGACCTCACCTGGGCTGGTGCAAGGCGGGCTGAAGGACCCAGGTGCTGCTCTGCCGGGAAAAGGGCCCGCGAGGCGGGGGCTGGGTTCCTGCCGCAGAGAGGTGGGGCCCGCCCTGTGCATGGCTCCTGGGAAAGGTCTGCGCTGGGCCTGGTGCAGGGCCAGGCCCCCCTCCCGCTGGTCTGCAGTGACTCGGCCGTCCCTCTGCTTCTGGGCCCGGACGTCCTCATGGCACAGTGCGGGGTTGGGCAAGTTTCCCGAGGCCCTAGGGGTCAGTCCCGGAGAGCACAGGTTTCCTTCCATCGCACGGGGGGCGGGTCTGCGGAGGAGGCCCAGGCTTTCTGACCACGCAGCGGTCCCTGAGTTCCCCGAGGGCCACCTAGACGAGGGCCTGCTGGCGCCTGTTGACACGGCTGCCCAGCCTCCCCTCCATGGCCGCCTGTGAAGCCTGCCACAGCCAGGCAGCCCGGCCAGCCTGGCAGCGGCCACGCTGTGCTGTGCTTGTATCTGTGGTCACGTGCTGCAAAGGCCTCTGGGAGCTGCGTCCAGCCAAGAAGTGGCTCTCCACGCCCTCAGCCCAGCTCCTCGGAGGCCGCTCAGAGCGGTGACTCAGCCCTGGCCTGGCCGGGCCTTCCTTCGGCAGGCTCCCTTTGGGTCCCTCCGGCCGGGAGCATGGTCCTGGCGTCCCTGCCCCTCTGGGCTCCTGAGCCGGGACCAGCACCCCTGGCAGCAAGTGGTGGGGTGCAGGGTCTTCTGCACTGCTGGGCTCGTGCTCTTTGGAACCCCTTTACCTGGCACCCAGAGGGAGCAAATCTGTGACTTTTTTTCCCCCCACCAGTATCACATCTGGGCAAACTGTCTTTTTTTTTTTTTTTTTTTTTTTTTTTTTTTTTTTTTTTTTTTTTTAAATCAATCTTTATTGTTCATATTATTACAAAGGTTCCTCATTTCTTCCCCCCTCCACCAGGTTCCCACCCCACCCTCCGTCCCCCCCCCAACCCCCATTATCCTCATCCATAGGTGCAGTTTATGTTCAGTCTCTTCTTCCCTCAATTTCCCCAATAGTAAATCCCTTTTCAGATAGTAAATCAGTTACTTAGCATTTTCTCATATCAATAATACCTCCACATGCCCAATGATACACTTCACACAAAAGACATTTCCCACTAGGTCAACCAGCCTCATCGAGGCCCCACCCAAGGCACTCACAGATCAACACCCCAGTCCTAAACTAACTCAACACATCCAGATCTAAGCCTTCATCACTTGATTCAGCAGACCCTCAAGTTCCCACGAAAGTTTCCAGCCATGTCTGAGAAGCAGCCGTGGGGCAGGGGCAGGCAAGGAGCGAGCTGTTCTGGGCCTGGCTGCTCAGGGCCTGGCCTCTGTTGCTCTGGTTCATTCCACAACCAGCTGCTCCGGGTCTGGTCACTGCCGCTCCCGACCTAGTTGCTCTGGACTTGGCTGCTGCTGCTCCGGGCCTGGCCGCTCCCAGCCTGGCAGCCGCTGCTCCAGGCCTGGCCGCACCCGACCCGCCTGCTCCCCCGGGCCTTGCCGCTCCCAGCCTGGCAGCCGCTGCTCCGGGCCTGGCCGCACCCGACCCGCCTGCTCCCCCGGGCCTGGCCGCTCCCAGCCTGGCAGCCGCTGCTCCGGGCCTGGCCGCACCAGCCCCGCCTGCTCCCCCGGGCCTGGCCGCTCCCAGCCTGGCAGCCGCTGCTCCGGGCCTGGCCGCACCCGACCCGCCGGCTCCCCCGGGCCTGGCCGCTCCCAGCCTGGCAGCCGCTGCTCCGGGCCTGGCCGCACCAGCCCCGCCTGCTCCCCCGGGCCTGGCCGCTCCCAGCCTGGCAGCCGCTGCTCCGGGCCTGGCCGCACCCGACCCGCCTGCTCCCCCGGGCCTGGCCGCTCCCAGCCTGGCAGCCGCTGCTCCGGGCCTGGCCGCACCAGCCCCGCCTGCTCCCCCGGGCCTGGCCGCTCCCAGCCTGGCAGCCGCTGCTCCGGGCCTGGCCGCACCCGACCCGCCGGCTCCCCCGGGCCTGGCCGCTCCCAGCCTGGCAGCCGCTGCTCCGGGCCTGGCCGCACCCGACCCGCCTGCTCCCCCGGGCCTGGCCGCTCCCAGCCTGGCAGCCGCTGCTCCGGGCCTGGCCGCACCCGACCCGCCTGCTCCCCCGGGCCTGGCCGCTCCCAGCCTGGCAGCCGCTGCTCCGGGCCTGGCCGCACCCGACCCGCCTGCTCCCCCGGGCCTGGCCGCTCCCAGCCTAGCAGCCGCTTCTCCGGGCCTGGCCGCACCAGCCCCGCCTGCTCCCCCGGGCCTGGCCGCTCCCAGCCTGGCAGCCGCTGCTCCGGGCCTGGCCGCACCAGCCCCGCCTGCTCCCCCGGGCCTGGCCGCTCCCAGCCTGGCAGCCGCTGCTCCGGGCCTGGCCGCACCCGACCCGCCTGCTCCCCCGGGCCTGGCCGCTCCCAGCCTGGCAGCCGCTGCTCCGGGCCTGGCCGCACCAGCCCCGCCTGCTCCCCCGGGCCTGGCCGCTCCCAGCCTGGCAGCCGCTGCTCCGGGCCTGGCCGCACCCGACCCGCCTGCTCCCCCGGGCCTGGCCGCTCCCAGCCTGGCAGCCGCTGCTCCGGGCCTGGCCGCACCCGCCCCGCCTGCTCCCCCGGGCCTGGCCGCTCCCAGCCTGGCAGCCGCTGCTCCGGGCCTGGCCGCACCAGCCCCGCCTGCTCCCCCGGGCCTGGCCGCTCCCAGCCTGGCAGCCGCTGCTCCGGGCCTGGCCGCACCCGGCCCGCCTGCTCCCCCGGGCCTGGCCGCTCCCAGCCTGGCAGCCGCTGCTCCGGGCCTGGCCGCACCCGACCCGCCTGCTCCCCCGGGCCTGGCCGCTCCCAGCCTGGCAGCCGCTGCTCCGGGCCTGGCCGCACCCGACCCGCCTGCTCCCCCGGGCCTGGCCGCTCCCAGCCTGGCAGCCGCTGCTCCGGGCCTGGCCGCACCAGCCCCGCCTGCTCCCCCGGGCCTGGCCGCTCCCAGCCTGGCAGCCGCTGCTCCGGGCCTGGCCGCACCAGCCCCGCCTGCTCCCCCGGGCCTGGCCGCTCCCAACCTGGCAGCCGCTGCTCCGGGCCTGGCCGCACCCGACCCGCCTGCTCCCCCGGGCCTGGCCGCTCCCAGCCTGGCAGCCGCTGCTCCGGGCCTGGCCGCACCCGACCCGCCTGCTCCCCCGGGCCTGGCCGCTCCCAGCCTGGCAGCCGCTGCTCCGGGCCTGGCCGCACCCGACCCGCTTGCTCCCCCGGGCCTGGCCGCTCCCAGCCTGGCAGCCGCTGCTCCGGGCCTGGCCGCACCCGACCCGCCTGCTCCCCCGGGCCTGGCCGCTCCCAGCCTGGCAGCCGCTGCTCCGGGCCTGGCCGCACCAGCCCCGCCTGCTCCCCCGGGCCTGGCCGCTCCCAGCCTGGCAGCCGCTGCTCCGGGCCTGGCCGCACCCGACCCGCCTGCTCCCCCGGGCCTGGCCGCTCCCAGCCTGGCAGCCGCTGCTTCGGGCCTGGCTGCACCCGACCCGCCTGCTCCCCCGGGCCTGGCTTCTCCCAGCCTGGCAGCCGCTGCTCCGGGCCTGGCCGCACCTGACCCGGCTGCTCTGGGCCCGGCTGCCCCGGGCCCGGCTGCTCCGAGCCTGGCCACTCCTGACCTGGATGCTCTGGGCTTGGCTACTGCTGTTCTGGGTCTGGCTGCTCCCACCCCGGCTGCTCTGGGCCCGGCTTCTTCGGGCCCGGCCACTCCGGGTCTGGGTTTTCCTGGACTGGCCACCCTGGGCTTGGCCGCCTCCGCCTCATGCCTGGCTGCCACTGCCCAAGGTCTGGCTACTCCAGTGCTGGCTGTTGATGCTCTGGTTCTGGCTGCTGTTGTTCTGGGGCCTGGCCGTTGCTGCTCCGGGTCTGGCTGCCACTGCCTTGTGCCTGGCCACTCTAGGCCTGGCCGTCGCTGTTCCAACATTCTGTCCTTTTTTTTTCTTTTTAAAACTTATTTATGTTGCAATGTTGGCTGGTGAGTTGAGTTCTGACTTAGTCTTTGATTTTTCAAGATCTTCTTCGTATTCTTTCTTAAGTAATTTTACTATTTTTTGCTCTCACTTGATTTCTTCACATTGAGAACTTCTTTGGTTTCTTCCTCCTTGTCCTGGGAGCTCAGTAGGTTGGCCTGTGGCACCCCTTTGTTCTCCGCGGGCTCCTGTGCTGCTTCAGCCTGTTCCGGGACGGCGCCGCCCAGGAAGCAGCCCCTGGCCTTGGCTCCATTGCCCGAGCTCAGTGGTCAAAGGCTCAGGGGCACCCACGCCCCCAGGGGCCCTGTGGCCCGCCTCCTTGCTGGTGCCCGGTTGGCTGGAGTCTGGCAGGGGCTTCCGCTCCCCTCCGCGTTCCCCCAGCCTAGAGCTTTTTTTTTCTCCTTCCCGCTAGGGAAGTCCAGCATCAGAGTCAACAGACTGTCCTCTGCGCGCAGTTTGCGCGAGTCCCGGGGGCCCGGCCTTTCGCTGCTCTCCCCAGACTCCACCTCACAGCCCCGTCTCCCTCTGCCTGAGCCTGGGTCCCCAGGGATTGGCCCAGAACTGGGGATCGGAGCAGTCCGGACTGAGGCTCAGCGCCGCCGGAGGCCTTGTTTCTTCCGGCTAGGGCAACCCAGCATCAGAGTCAACATTCAGTCCTCTGCGCGCATTGCGCGCGACTCCCGGGGCCCTGCCTTTCGCCGTTTTTCCGCCTCACGGCCCCGTCTCCTCCCACCGGAGCCTGGGTCCCCAGGGTCTGGCCCATAACTGGGGCTCAGCGCTGCCGGTTCGGGGGGGCTCAGCGCTGCTGGTTCGGGGGTTCAGCCCAGGGTGGAGGTTTTATTTCCTTCCTGCTAGGGAAGGAAAGGCGGCTCCCCGCCCTCTCCTCCTCTCCGGCTGCGACCTCTCCGTGCGCGCGTGCGGGCGGGCAGGCGCGCGCAGCATGTCTCCGTACCTTAGGCTTTTTTTCAGCTCCTCTGATTTTCTTTCTGGTTTTCTCTTTCCTTCTTGTTGTAGAAATTTCAGTCAGTCGACTCCCTGTAGCTCTGGGCAATGTCCACTCTACATTTTAGTTGTATTCCATTGAAATTGTTGTGTGCTGCCGCGGCTAGATGTCTACCCGAGCAGCCATCTTGGATCTCCTGGGCAAACTGTCTTTAAAATCTGAATTTTTGTGTGTGTATTTTTAAATATATATTTTACTGATTTTTTACAGAGAGGAAGAGAGAAGGATAGAGAGTTAGAAACATCGATGAGAGAGAAACAGCTGCCTCCTGCACGCCCCCCACTGGGGATGTGCCCGCAACCAAGGTGCATGCCCTTCACCAGACCTGGGACCTTTCAGTCTGCAGGCCTACGCTCTATCCACTGAGCCAAACCGGTTTCAGCTAAAAGCTGAGTTTTTTTATTATATAAAGGGGAGAAAGCCTGTCCCAGTCTTCACCTTCCGTGGCTGTATCGTCCCACCCCACGCGGGCTCACGTGGCACTGGGCGTGGAGCACACGTGGCTTGATGTGATGTTATAATGGCTTTATTTTATTTTATTGTTTTTACTGGCTGTTTTCCACTTTGAAAGCTAAACGCTCTTCTCACAAGGAAATTGGGAAATGCAGAAAAGCTAATGGCTTCCTCCGGCAGAGCAGCCCGCCCCACACCCGTGCGTGGCCTTGCCCTGGGCAGGCGGCGTGTCTGTGTGTGCTCACCAGGTACAGACGCATTGTGTGTACTCCACCCTTAGCAAAAATGTACCTGTTATAGGGGAGTCAACTGTTTGGTTGGCTTTCTGTTGCAGACGTGATTCAAGTTGTAGAAAAATGGAACCGTCATAGAAACATATAAACCAAAAGGAAAAAAAAAAAACCACCGTCCTTCATACATCGTCCCCGCCCCGTGGTTGATTTATGCTGAAAAACAGCAATGTCGTACCTTCTCCTTTGGCAAAAGTGGGATTTGTTTCCTATCCTAGCCCTGCCGCTGGAATAGAAACGTGATGTACAGCAAAGGGCAAAGGTGCTGAGAGCGCAAACAGAGGAATCCTGGGAAAAAGAATGAGGCCGGAAACCCCCTCCCCTCCCCAGACTTCCCCCTCCTCACCCCAAGGCTAGGGCCTGTTCACCTGGCTGCTCCTTGAGCCTCATGTCATCGGGCCGGGGCCCCAGAGGGGCGAGGGGACACTGTGTCTGTGTCAGTCACACGCCTCACAGCGGGGACGTTCCCAGGTTATCCTCCCAGACCCCCGGGGCCGAAAGGGGAGCCCAAAACGTGGCTTCCCTCCGTGGAGCCTAAGCCACAGCCACTGTCTTCAGCCCGCTGCCCTCGCACGAAGGCGGTTTCTGTCCTGCTTTAGGCCGGACGGTAACCGGGACGCGGTGTCCAAGCCCCCTCTCGCCAGGGCGCGGCTCTCCCGGGCAGGGGGTAGGCCCGCGTGCGATGTTGAAATTCTGTGTTGCGTTAACCGTCTTCACTTCCTGAGCGGGAGCCGTCTCCGCCCTCAGCAAAAATGTAACTGTTATGGGGAGCTGAAGCCTCACCCAGAGACCGGTGAACCCACATTTCCGTCCTCCCTGACCCAGACCTGTGGGCCTGTCCCCCACGTCCCTGTGGGCCTAGCCGGGGCAGGAGGGGCAGCAGGGGCACTAGGGCCCAGCACAGGCCCTGGGTTGGGGGAGTGGGGCGGGGCAGGACTGGGCGGGGTGGGGGGGATCATCCCCCTCTGGTTCAGGGTCTTCCTGGGCTTGTGTGAGAGGGACCCCTTTTCTAGGGGCGAGTCGTTAGTTCTAAGCGGGATCTTGACTCCCAAAACCTTAGCACTCTCCAGGCTAGATGTTATAAGACGCGGGCCCTTGGGTAAGGTGACCAGACGTCCTGCTTTTGGCGGGACAGTCCCAATTTCTAATAATTTGTCCCATGTCCCGCGGCATTTTAAAAAAGTCCCAATTTCTGGAAAGATTTAAAAAATCCAAAAGTCGAGACTTTTTAAAAACGCCGAGGGACGCGGGACAAATTGTTAAAAATCGGGACATCTGGTCATCTTATCCTTGGCCACATTTCACCCGGACCCAGGGGGCAGAAAGGTGTAACGGACACTACCGCCGATATTGACGGATATTGATCTCGGTGGTCATGCCATCCCGGCTGTTACTCAGAATGCTCTCCATGGCTGCCCTCTAAGGCACCCAGGTAATCACCAACCAGCAGGCTTTGCTCTCCTCGCGAAGGACAGAGCCCGGTCAGAGGTCACAGCGTGGAGCGTAAATCTTGGACGCAGAGACGGAGTTGGTTGTGTTCACTTGCAGCCTCTGCCTGTCTGAGGTCGAGGGGCCCCTGCCCCCGTGGGTGTCGCCCAGTGCAGCGGGCCGTCTCTGGCTGGCTGCTCACCATACCCCTCCCCGAAGAGGGGCGGACACCCGGCCCCACCCCACCTTGGAATCTCTAAAAGCCACGGAAAGCCAGCTGCGTGGCCCCCTGCCCTGCGGGTCTGGCCTCTGCCGTGGTCACGGGCACCGTGGAGCGGGGTGCTCTGTCCCGGGCTTGCCCTCCTCTCACTAGGCCCTCCTTCCAGGTGAGGCTTCAGGTGCAGAGCCTGGAGAAGCCCCAGTACCGAGGCACTGTGCACTGCTTCCAGTCCATCATCAAGCAGGAGAGCGTGAGTGGCGTGGGCAGGGGCGGGGCCAGCCGGGAGGAGGCTGCGGGGCTGGACCACAGGGTGGGAGGGAAGAGCTGGGGCCCAGGGAAGAGCCGGGACGTTGGCAATGGGATGGTGCGAATGCCCCGCACGCTCAGATGGAGGACTCTGGCTCTAATAACTTTAAAAATATATATATATTTTTTTTTTATTGATTTTTTTTTACAGAGAGGAAGTGAGAGGGATAGAGAGTTGGAAACATCAATGAGAGAGAATCATCAATCATCTGCCTCTTGCACACCCCCTATTGGGGATGTGCCCGCAACCAAGGTATATGCCCCTGATCAGAATCAAACCTTTCAATCCGTAGACGGACACACTATCCATTGAGTCAAACCGGTTTTGGCTCTAATAATGTTCTGTTTGATCCCTAGGGTCACCTGGGGTGGGCTGGGGCCTCCACCTGCGGTGCAGATGGGGGCGGGGGAGGAGGGTAGGGATGAGAGGGAGGATAGCTGGGCTGCCCAGGCCCCAGGCGGGAGGCGGGCACCTGACGGACGCCCCTCTGCCCCCGCAGGTGCTGGGCCTGTACAAGGGCCTGGGCTCGCCGCTCATGGGGCTCACCTTCATCAACGCGCTGGTGTTCGGCGTGCAGGGCAACACGCTGCGGGCGCTGGGCCAGGACTCGCCCCTGAACCAGTTCCTGGCGGGGGCGGCGGCGGGCGCCATCCAGTGCGTCATCTGCTGCCCCATGGAGCTGGCCAAGACGCGGCTGCAGCTGCAGGACGTGGGCGCGGCGCGCACCTACCGCGGCTCGCTGGACTGCCTGGCGCAGATCTACCGGCGCGAGGGCGTGCGCGGCGTGAACCGCGGCATGGTGTCCACGCTGCTGCGCGAGACGCCCAGCTTCGGCGTCTACTTCCTCTCCTACGACCTGGGCACCCGCGCGCTGGGCTGCGAGCCGGGCGACGCGCTGCTGGTGCCCAAGCTGCTGCTGGCGGGCGGCACGTCGGGCATCCTGTCCTGGCTCTCCACCTACCCCGTGGACGTGGTCAAGTCCCGGCTGCAGGCCGACGGCGTGCGGGGCGCCGCCCGCTACCGCGGCTTCCTGGACTGCGCGCGCCAGAGCTACCGCGCCGAGGGCTGGCGCGTCTTCACGCGCGGCCTCACCTCCACGCTGCTGCGCGCCTTCCCCGTCAACGCCGCCACCTTCGCCACCGTCACCATCGTGCTCACCTACGCGCGCGGCCCCGAGGACCCGGCCGAGGACGAGGGGGTGCCCGCCGCCGCCCCGGGGTCCGCGCTGGCCCAGCCCTCCAGCCTGTGACCGCCGCCCCATGGACAGAGGCGCGGCCTCGCCTTTTCCTCACCCCGACATCCGCATCCAGGGGCCCCCCCTCCTGCCCAGGCCGGGGGGCAGGGACCCCATCAGATCTGGCCCGATGCCGCTGCGCACCAGCCGGGTTACCGTGGCCACCGACTGGACTCCTCATTGCTCTCAGCTGTGCAGCCAGGGAGCTGGCCCTGTTACCTGGAAGCTTCCAGAAACCCAGCCAACACTCCAGTCTTCCCCGGGATCCCACCCACCAGCTTTCCCAGGGACACTCACTGCGCATCCTGGACCTGGCGGAGCTCCAGGGCGCCTCCTGGTGTCAGAGAACTGGACCTGACCTGGTGCACCCAGCTTCTCCACACGGCACTGCTTGGGGCACCCCTGCTGCCGCCACTCCAGGGGAGGCTGACCTGGGACCCCCGAAAGGCCAGGGGTTTGCTGGAGGCTCCATGTCCTCCATAGTTCTAAACACAGCCGCGGGGAGGGGAGGTCTGTCCTCTGGGCCTCAGGCTGCCCATCTGTAACATGGGGACACGGGGCTGCTGATAGCTAGCGCTCTGGCCCACTTTCCAAAGGTGAGTGGAGGGGTGGAGGGGGAGATAGTAGGGGCCCCCCACCTCCTCTTCTCCAGCAAATGGGCAGGCTCCTTGGTGCCTGGCATCCTGTGCGGTGGGAGGGCCCATGGGTGGGCACGGCTGTGGCCGTGTGGGCCCCTCCGGGCTGAGGGGAGCTGAGCCCACGCTCCGGAGCTTCCACTCGAAGCTGGTGCTGCGGAGGAACGCGGGGAGCCCGGCACATCCGGTGCGGTGTGGCCTGTGAGGGGTGGGGAGGCGGATGGTTTTGCTGGTGGGAGGTGCCTGTGGCCCCCTTTCCCCGAGTGGGGCTGAGCCTCGGGCAGCGTGGCACGCTCTCCCAGGAGGCACTGGGCGAGGAAGACAGCACTCCCACCCTGTGCATGGGTGTCACTGGTAATAAAGTCACTTGTTTTTTAAGAGGGTCAAGGCTTCATTTGTGTATCACAGAGGGGCTTCATTCCATACCCTCCCGGGTGAGAGGGGCCGGCTCTGTGGTCTGTGCCCTCCGGCCCTGATGGCAGCCCCGCTGTGTGACCTGGGTCAGCTTTGGGGCACATCTTAGCCCTCAGTTTCATGGTCTGCAATGTGGGCGCTCAGCAGGAGCTCACGGGGTGCCTGGCTACCCCGGCCACAGGAGGCCAGTCCCCCCTCCCGCCCCGCGGGCTGGCAGCACGTGCTGTGAGCTCTCCGGGAGGACCGAGCCGTGCTCAGATCAGACGTGGCCGCTGGCAGGAGGTGAGAGGAACTGCCCACCGAGATCAGACCTAACCCAGCCCAAGTGGTCCCTGTTGGGTGCCCACCCTCACTTCTCAGCCTCTTGGGTCAATCCTGGACACCCTGTGTCTCCCTGTGTCCCCAAGCTACCAGCCTGGATGGAGGCTCGCTCCTTCCCAACTGCTGAGCCAGAAAGCTTTGCCCACGCACGGGGAGGGGGGGGCGGGAGGGCAGGGAGAGGGCCCAGCTCTCCCTGCAGGGGAGCCAGCTCTTTACACCCCATTTAACCCCAGCACCAGCCTGTGATGTTGAGCTTGTCTCGTGTCCAGGGAGAGGAGGCCGGGAGGGGGCTGGGGGGAGTGTCCTCAGGTGTATCTCAGACCCTGTTAGCCCATGCCCCCCCTGGGGTCCCAGGCAGCAGCTCCTCCCCCATAAGGTGCCCTGGCTTCTCTCTCACTTTCCTCTGAGAGAACCCAGGCAAATGCTAAAAACCAGGGTCCCCCACTCGCACTGAGCGCTGACGGTGAAACATTACCGACAGGTTGGGTGGGGAAGAGGGTTTGAGAGAACTGTGGGTTTGGTTTTGTTTTTATCAATTTATTTAACTGTTTATTTTCTTCCTGACTTGTTTATGTTTATTCTATTTGGAATAAGTAATCTATTAATGTGGCAAAGAAATAAAAAACGCAGACGAAACCCAGACTGTGTAATGACGGGGAAACCTGGTCCCCGGCGCCTCCCCTGCCAGCACCCTCCCCCCTGGAGCCTGGGGCTGTCTCAGTTCCTGGAGGACGCCTGCACGTCCTGGGTGAGTCCCAGCCCCTGGGAACACTCCACTCCTGCGGACCGTGGCCTAGGTACTGACTGTTCTTTGAACTCGACAGTTATCTTGGAGATGTGGCTCAAACAACAGGCATTTATCCTCTTGAAGGTCTGGGAGGTCAGAAGTCACATTCACTGTCTTGCTGGCCGCGGGGATGGAGGGAGGACCTTCCCGTCCTCCCCCGATGGCAGCGGCTCGCCCTGTGCACACCCTCTCCAGTCCTTTCGCCTCCGTTTTGCAGCGGGGGATGCCCGTGGGGAGGGCCCAGTCCAAGGCCACACGGCCGGTTGGCGCTGGGTCAAGAGCCTGAACGCCTTCCTGGTCTGCGGCCCTCACCGCACCCCATGCCCCGGGCCTGGCTGTGCACCTCATGGCCCATCTTCACCAGCAGCCCAGGCTGACCCCCGGGTCCCCCTGGCTGCAGTGACAGACACCCCGGAGGGGCACCCAGCAGCACAGGAACCTTGGACGGGTTTGGGACCCACCCTGTATGCCCCTTGGTCTCGGCTCCCTTGCTGCTATGCCTCCTTACTTGGCACCCACCGGCCCTCCCAAGGGAAGGTGTGTCCACTGTGACGGCGGCAGAGGCAGTGGCCACGGGGAGCTGGGCCAATACAGCCCTTTGCTCACCCCCCACCCTGGGAAGCCCGGCTGTGCCCCCCCCTCCACCCAGCCCCGCTCTCCGGCCTGCTGATGGGCATTGTGTGTGGCTGGGGCAGGTGGAGGAGAGGCCAGGAGGGGGCGGCGCTCGTGGTGCCCTTGTAGGACCAGAAGGGAGACCTGAGCAAGGCCTGGGGTTGGGAGGGCTCCCTGTGCACCCCTCGACCAGGGGTGGGGTGGCCGGATCCCCATAATGCTCCACGTTAGATGCTGCTGGGTGGGAGCTGTGCCCTGGCAGACTGGCAGGCAGCCTGCAGTGCGGACCGTCCATCCCTTCCACCCCCAGAAGCGCTCAAGGGGTGCTGGGCTCCTCAGCCTGTCGGGCAGACACTGAACGCCACCCCTGGGCATCCAGGTGGGTTTGGGAAACCAAGTGGGCAGAATTGATGCCCGAGTGGATGGGAGGGCGTGAGAGCTGGGAGGCCACCATGCCACCCTCTTCTGGCTTAACTGTCCCTGTGGATGCAGGATGGGAAGGGGGGCGGGCATAGTGGGTAGATGAGGGCAGAGGCTGCGGAGCTCCTGTGCAGGGCTGGGTTGGGTTTTGCCAGAGAGACAAAGGGGAAGGCAAGAAAGTAGGAGGGCGGGAAGCTGGGACATGGAGCTTTGTGGGGCTGGATGGTAAGGAGGTGATTGGCTGAGGGCACTGGGGTGCAGTCCCACAGAAGCAGGAGTGGCAGTGAGAGAGCAGGACCCTAGGACAGAGACTGGGGGCTGCAGGTGTCGGAAACACAAGGTTTGGGAGTGGCCATGGCAGTGGCAGGTGGAGTGGGGTCATCAGGAGGACAAGGCCATGGTGGACCGACCTCCAGAGCGATGCTGAGGTGGCCAGTGAAGATGGGTGGGGAGCCAGCGGGCCAGCGTTAGAATGAAAGGGGTGATGGCGGAGTGGGGCTGGGATTGGCGATAAGATTAGGAAGTGGAAGTGGACCGAGGAAGGGGAGGGGGTGAGAGAAAAAGCAGCCTGGCTCGAAGGGCTTCTGGTCCCTCTTCCCAGCCCCCACCAGGCTTTGGCTTCACCCAGGACTGGAATGGGGATCCGGCCACCCCTCCCCTGGTCGAGGGGTGCACCAGGAGCCCTCCCAACCCCAGGCCTTGGTCAGGTCTCCCTTCTGGTCCTACAAGGGCACCCCGAGTGCCACCCCCTCCTGGAGTCCAGCCTGCTGCACCCACCCTTCCCCCCCCAGCCCAGCTTCTGCTGAGGAAAAGGAAGCTCCCGACAGACCCAAGGTCACCTGCCCTTCTGCCTTGCCCAATCCCGAGGCCCTTTCAACTGGAGTGGCCCCTTAGCAGCAGGTGGCCCTACATGTGCTGGAGGACAAATCAGTGACCCTCCTCCCCCATTGTGGGGGTCCTCACACTGGGCCGAGTGTCTGAGGAAGGCTGTGGGCGCCGAGGGGCAGGCTTCTGAGCTTCCCCAGTGGGGCCCGGGCTCAGGACCCAGCCAGGCCTACACAGACGGGTCCTGGCTGCCCCACACGGAGCACACACACCCTCCAGTGGCGGAGAGGAAGGCGCACCACGGTGCCGGCCCAATCAGAGGTCTAAGGCTGGAGAACTAGCCCTCAGGCTTTCGGGCCAGAGCAGAGGGGAGCAGTTCAGGCAGCAGAGGGTGGGGATGGGCGGGCCGGCCCTGTCTGGGGGTAGTGCATGGGGCGGTTGAGAGGCTCTGGCCACCAGCTCCTAGGACACCGGTAAGCTACCTGTTGCAGGTGGTGGAAGGGCTGGGACTGGGGCGAGGCCTCTCCCTCTTCTCCTGTCTCCTCCACTAGAAGGAATGCAGTTCCATCAGCACCTGAAAGGGCCTGACACAGCTGGGGCTCAGTAGCTGCTGAATGAGTGAAGCTGGGACCTCTGGGAGTGAGAAGCTGCGAGGGGGGCTGAGGACGGAAAAGTAGGTCAGGGCTGGACTTGGTCCGGTAGGAAGTGGGGAGCCCCTATAGGTTCAGGTGAGACCCACACTGGAGCCCCATTTGGGAGATTGCACAGCGTGGAGCGTCAGGAAGCTGGAGAGGAGCGCTGGGCCAGAACAGGCGGGTGAGGAATGCTGGCCGTGGGGGCCCAGAGCCAGCGCCCCAGGCTTCTTCCCTACGGGTTGGAGATGAAGTCAGGCTGCGGGCCAGAGGCAACAGCAGCCAGGCAAGCCTGGGTTTGACTTCCTGCTGCCTAGACCTTTGCAAATGACCCTCATCCATGACGAGTTGAATGAAATGATGGTGCTGGGGACAGTTACCTAGGTGGGGATGCTGGCAAGTGTGAAATGGGGACAGTGGGTTCAGCTATGGGGTAGGGGCAGGGTGCCTCCAATCTTAGATCACCAGCTCCTCTTTGGCCCTTCACTCAGCAGCATCCTGCCAGCAGCCCCCTCCACCCAGGAGTGAAGCTCTGCAGCCCCGGATGCCAGGGGAGTGAGTAAGTGCTTCTCTGCGTTTGCTTTTGGCCAAATCCTAGCTAGCTCCCTTTTACCGAGTTTTGAAGAGCCTAGTTACAGTCGAGTTTCTTACTGGAGTTCCCAGAACTGTCACTTGGGGTTGAGAATTTGCTTTCTGAAAAGCGGGTGAGTTTCTCATTAAAACTCTTCCAGTCCGCCGAAACCGGTTTGGCTCAGTGGATGGAGCGTCGGCCTGTGAACTGAGAGGTCCCAGGTTCGATTCTGGTCAAGGGCATGTACCTTGGTTGCAGGCACATCCCTAGTGGGAGTGTGCAGGAGGCAGCTGATCGATGTTCTCTCTCATCGATGTTTCTGACTCTCTGTCCCTCTCTCTTCCTCTCTGTAAAAAGCCAATAAAATATGTTAAAAAAATAAAAATAAAATTCTTCCAGTCCATCAGTCCATCCTGGAGCTGAGGGGCTGCGCTAAGGAAGCATTTCCTGCTGGTGAGACCGAAGGAATCCTAGAGGACCTGCCTCGGTCCAGGCAGGAAGGAGCCTCCGGCCAGGTTCACTGTGTAATGAAACGCAGGGAAAGAGGCGGCTTAGAGGCTTGAGGAACAAACAAGAACCGCAGGCATTGAAAAGCTTAACATTATGCGTTTATTATATCTTAATAGAGCCATGTTATTATACATGCTTGGTGCTTCAAACTGGGTTACGTTAAATGTTTTTCTGGATGCAAAGCCATCTTGCTTGATGCTTGAGATGTGGATGCCTTAAACGCGATAATACTTCTGCACCTATGACCTATGAGCTAAGGAAAAACCAAGGACAATTCCAGAAATGGCAGAACACATTTAAGAAAAAGATGCACATGAGACGCGACGCTAAGTCCTTGAGCCGGGGCCTACAGAAGTTACCAGAAAGCGAATAAAAACAATTGTTCTATGAAAATGACTTGACCAATCACCATCTGCAGGTAACAGAGCCTCATACAGTTACAGATATTGTAGAAAAGGTGGTTTGGTATCGATGCCTTTCCCCTCCATGTGAAGTACCTCCTGCATCCCCCACCCCCCAATGATAGCACAGCCAACAAAACACTGCACAGCAACTGGCCCCTCCCCGCGACACCCCAATGCTAATCCTTATGGCATCTGAGTGTCCTTAACGAGAAGCAGTCAATCTGGTCAAATCTGCCACTTTGTGGGGAATCACTGTGCTGCAGGATGAATGTGCTACCATCACTCACCCTGTGCAGATGCCCCCATCCTGGCCAGAATGACCAGGTGACCAGCTCACGGGAATTTGGTTTACCTGCTGTAACCGTTCCCTTCCAGTTTTTAGAAGAGCTGATGAAGTGTGTGGACAATATGCTTACACCTCTCTGCTCACCACTTAGACCTGGAGGCCACCGAAGCCCGCATTTGGAGGCACCTGGCCATTCCTGTCTGCTGCTGCTGCTCTGAAAGGCCTGCACTGCCTTGTCTTCAGCGACCAGGGACCTGAGCACAGCCCATGCAGTAACCATCAAAGCCAACCAAGGTCAATACGTTAGGGTGTAGGAGACCTAGCCACCCACTTAGGCAGTTTCTGAGCTGGCAAGAGGTGCCTTCTGCCATGTTGAAGAGCAGGCTGTGGAGCGCATGACCGAGCTGCAAGGGGGCAGAGCTTGGGTTAAAAGTTCTGGTGGGCCCTAGGCCGTCCAGTGACAGGCAAAGTGCGGGCTTCAGCAGCCGGTGGAGCAGCTGCAAGCAAGCCTCGTGGCGTGGGTATGGCATTAAGTGGGTGCCTGTCGGCAGCTTCAGTTCTCACCACCTTTTTGACTCCTGGATCCATGCTCTGGCTGGTGGCCAGACGTCAAGAAAGCAGGAGGAACTTGGGAGAATTTAAGATGAACAGCACGGTCTTCCTAAACCATGTGATCCCAACTCAGTCAGACACAAGAAGTGAGCAATTCTCTCTGCCTGTCATGGGGGTACAACGATCAGATTTCCAACTGAAAAGCTTCCGAGGGCCCAGTTTTCCTGTGCCACAGACAAATTTGAGATGTTACAGCAGGAAAGTTTTGCTAAGCAGATGGGGTTGGGGGGCAGACAAAGCCCTCTGACCACCACCCGCCTGCCCTGCCCTGTGTCCCTCCGGGCTGCTCGCTGGATGGACGTTCTCTTATTTGTGAAGAAACAAACAAGAATTCTGCCGGGAACAGGGGCAGGCAGTTCCTCTTCTGCCAAGGGCCTTACTTTATTCAAATTTAGTGAAATAAGTGACATGTAAAAGAACTGTACATGAAAACCAGATAGAAAAAATAATCTTGATATTCCTCAAATCCTTAGGTCTCGAATCTAGGCAAAGCACACAAACACCATATGAAACCAATAGTGAGCTCAATGTCACCATGGAAAGTAAATGTCACTCTGAGGTGACAGCTCTTTATACAAATATGTTTCCCCCTAACTTCACTACCAAAGAGGGGGGAAATAATAAGAAATCCAAAAATAGAAAACAACATCTTATTAAATGTAAACGTATCCTCTGGACTCTTATATTACATATCCTACAAACATGCAAGGATCTCAGCTCAGATGTAGGAAAATATGTCTATCAGTATCACTTAAAAATCAGGTTAACCCTCAAGACCACCAATTGACTCACTGTTGGAACACCATGTCAAAGTCTTGTCATGTGCATCCTCAGCAAACGTAAGAATTTCAACAACAGCGAACTGGGTTTCAGGTACCCCCGTGAGAACGACTCTGCTCTTTAACTGTCACTCACCTACTCGTTCTCTATACGGGGTCGAGTTGTTCCGTCAACAAGGAACTTGGACAGTACATTTCTTTAAAACCCCACCCTTCTCCATTACATTCCTTCCAGAAACTAGCTCTGCAGACTGAGAGAAGACACGTGAACAGTCAAGGGGAGGGGGTGATGACTATTTCACTCGGAGGGATGAAGAGATGACTAACGGCATCCCTCTAGGGGTCAAGGCACGGGAAGAGGGACCAACCTCCTCACAGGTACTGCTTCTGTAGGTCACAGGACACAGAGGGCTCTCTGGACTGCCAGCGTGTCCCACAGCACAAGGCTGCCTGCCACATGTCCTTGGGGAAGGAATCCAAGGGCAGTGCCAGGACTAGGCCCCACGGCGGTACAATGCTAGGCGAGGGTGATGCAGCGCCAGACCTAATGAATATGCCCGCAGGCCTGTTCGCCTGCTCGCCTGCTGGCAGGGAGGGAAGGAACGGGTGCTCACATCACGGGCACCTGTGGAGACTCCTGCCCCAGGTCTGGCCAGAGAAGCACTCCGGGCATTCGGCTTCAAAGGGGAGCTCCATCATGGCTTACCTCGCCCCCGACTGCCAGTACAGCCGCTCCTGGCTTATCGAGGGGACAGCTGGGCTCTTCGGATTAACTCAGTTCCAGCAAGCTACTCACTCAATGGAAAACAGATTCTGAACGAATAAAAAAATTGTCTCAAGTTAAATTTTTCATTTATGAATCAGAAGGCACTTCGAAATTCCGGAGAGCCGCAGTGTCACTGCTCCCGGGCCCCCGATCCTGCACAGGACCGGAGGAGGAGCTGGAGACAGGGCAACGTTTCTGACCTGACGTGTCCTGGACGTCAGTTGAATAAATCTGGTTCAGCTAGTTTGTCGAGCACACAGTACAAAGACACACGGATGTTTGCATTCTGGATAAATGGGTTTTGCTGTATTGTGGCAGTTTATAAAACAGTCTCATGGGTCTGATATTTGACTCGAAGTAAAATTCAAAAAATCATAACCGTACATTTAAGAGGTCACAACGTGAGAGGCAAAGTACTCATTGAGTACAATTCTCTTAACTGAATCACCTTGCCAATCAGTACTCAGTGTCCATTTGGAAGCGTGAGATTAAGCTGCTGGCGCTCAACTGCTACATATGCTAACACTGAGGACTCCACTGCCAAAGGACCCAAGGCGCTCAACCACAGCACCGCCAGGGCCTGCCTGAGCGCTGGACCCTGCTTGTCCCCGCCAGGTAACACCTTACCTTGAGAACACAGGCCAGGTGCAACTGTCAGTCACATCTTTGCTGGGGAAGCAAAACTCAAAACCCAATTGCCAAAGGGCCTGGTTGGGAGTCCTCTGAGGTAGTTCCTTAACTTGGGATGCCTCTTACTACTCTCTCAGAACTCAGTCCCTGCGGGAAAGTATCGAGATACCCATGCATCGCTTTAATCATAAGTCACTGTAACTGAGTGCAAAATAAAGGAAACTCGAGTTGCTTTATTTAGCTTCCAATTTCTGGGAGGCTCAAGAATTATAATTATTCTGGACAACAAAAGGAAATAAGACTGTGCTTACAGATCTTTTCTGCCATATTCTTTCTGTAGGATTGCTATTTTATTGTTGCCCTTTCTGTTACATGGATGTACACACCAGGTGTTAAAAGGTACAATACATTCTACAACTGAGCACCACTTTCTGTAACTGAACAGGCAAAGAGATTACACTGAACATCAGCATCTGGCAGTATTTTTCGGGGAAAAAAAAAAGTGACTAAAATGGATTTAAATTGATTAACACTATTAAATCACATCTAATATTTGATACTACATGATTCAATACAGCTATACGATACAATTATACAAAATGTGTTAACATCAAAGAATACAACCAAAATTAAGATAGCAAACAAAACCTATATAACTTTTTTTACAGGAAAATACTTTTGAAGTATGCATGTAACTGCCCATTCTTTTAAAGAAAATCTACTGCAAGCAAAGTTATCAACCTCCAGAAAAATCACACATAGCATTACTAAGCATATCCCCAAAAAGTGTACAATATGCACACTTGGAAAATACAAAATTAAAAAAATTGTAAGCAACAGGTGAGCTTCATATTTATAAGAATGTGAAAAGAAGTCCCATTTTTAGCACTGTTGTATAAAGAATTGTCTTTTGATGAGAAGTTCATGACTTGTCCTCATGTTGGGACCACACTTTACAAAACACCGTGTTTTTGAAATGAGATTACAGAGCTAGATAGTCATATCTTAGCAATGTCATCTTAATAAAGTTTTTTTTTTTTAATTTTTACTACTTTATCAAAACATGTCCCTTAAGTGTGTAGGATTCATTTTTAAAATTCTTTCCTAGAAACAATATACAAAGGAGAGGCATCGTTATTCCCAAACACACTCCTGGAAGATGCTTTCCGAGGTCCAGAAGCTCTTCTCTTGTCTTCTCACTGGTTGTTTTTGGCCTTTGCATGTGTTAAGATGTGAGATTTCAGATTAGTCGACTGAGCAAACTTCTTATTGCAGCCATCGAAGGGGCACACATAGGGCCTGTCTCCGGTGTGGATGCGCACATGTGTGCGCAAATTGAAGTCCAGTGAAAAGCGTTTGCCGCAGCCTTCGAACGTGCACTGCCGGGAAGACCAGAGAGCCTGCTCAGTGACAGGGACACCGCTGCGAGGAGGGCAGCTTGCTTCTTTGACTAACACTCTCCTCCCTCCCAGGGGAAATGTCCCAGCTGTTCTGGAACCAGTGGGCATGGCGCTCCAGCTCTGCGACAACAATCCCCAAGACCCCCAGGAGCACCCCTCCGGAACCATTTAAATACCAAGTAAGAGAAACACTTGGATCTCTCTAAATATTATGTTATGGTCCTAAAACTATGGAAAAAGAAAGCACAGGAAAGCTTCCGGTGCCAAATCAAGAACCAGGTCAGGTTTACTGCCTGTACTGTGAGTCTGTTCCCTTGTTCATGGGCTTCTAAAATGCGACAAAATGTTAACGGTTCTTACTCTCGCACAGTAAAATTTGAAAGTCCCCTGCCAATTAGGGATTCAACATACTGCTAACTGCCCAAACCAAACTGCTCTGACCCCACCGTGGATGCACCGAAATCTAGTTTTAGGCTTGTTCTTGAGCAATCCTTTCTCTTGATGTGATGGGTACCTCCCACAGTCTCCAGTATGTCACAGAGCCGCCCTCCTGTGACAGACACCAGGCCATCTCTCCCTGCACCGGGGCTGCCTGCCTACACACAGGTGTATGTGTGTGGTGGTCGTAAGGTGGGGGGGAGGAGGAGGGAGGGACTGGCTCTACCTGAAAGGGCTTCTCTCCAGTATGAACCAGTTGGTGCCGTTTTAGTTTTGAGCTCTCAACAAAAGCTTTGCCACACTCTGCACAGACGTGGACTCGGGGGCCGTGGGTGTGCAGATGCTTTCTCATGGCAGAGTTATCCCTGAACATCTTTGTGCAGCCCTTCAAACAGAGAGAGAAGCTTAGTGGTTCACACTGCAAAGTGTGACAAAGGGTCAACCACTGAACAGCCTTCACTGACACATTAAAACAAAACAACCCCCAGCCCCATTTTAATTTTACTTAGTATTACAGCAGAAATATTAAAATATTTAAGACAAAAAAAAAGACAGCTGAAAAAGGCCTTATCATTTAATGTAAACCCTTGTTTTACAGATGAGGAAACTGAGGCTTAGAGATGTCTTAAGTAGACTTGCCCAAGGTCACACTACAAATAGTAGCCGAGCTGGGAGTAGAACCCAACACCCTGGCTTCCAGCTATACCACCGCTGCCTCACCCAACTCCGTCCCCCACATGAAGTAACAGAAGCCCTGAGAAATAAATGGAGTTAAAATGACGGCAGTCCACCACTACCTTTGGTGGGCCCCATATTCTGTGCTGCAAGAATGGGCTGTCATTCTCCATCGCCTACTGTTCCCTCTTCTCTCTTTGCCTCTTTCCCCTTCTTGACAGAGAAAGAAGCAAGAGGGTCTCCAAGGAATGGCAACTACAGAAGAAATTGATTTTGTGAGACACTAGGAAAAGAAGCAGGCAAACTGATACGAGCGGGGCGGCAGATGGGAGGGTGGCGCTCAGAGAAGCATGTCCTGCCCAATTTCTTCTGCAGTTGTTGCCCAGTGATGGAGTGGGTGGGGGAAATGACAGACAGCACAACAGAGGACAGCACAAGCCAACCAGTGGACAGCTTCACAGGCAGAAGGGCGGGCAGGAAAAGCCACAGTTTTTTCACCTTGACCCCTAAGTCGAGTTTCCATTTAGAAGATGGGATTTTAAAGAAGTAGACAGAGAAGCTAGAGAGATGGCAGGCACTCAAAGGCAGAACTGTTTTCAAATGCTTATCTATATTTTGGCCCCAATGAATATCACTTTACATTTCAAACTCTCCACATGAGGAGCATTAAAAAGAACAAAGAACTTGTGAGTTGCGTAGTCATTAGAGGTGACACCTCAAAGCTAAATTTGTCCTACCACCCATCATTTAAAAAAATTATTTATTCCATGCAAAAATTCTGCCCTTTGTTTTTCTGCACCTGTGTGATATTTTCTGTTACTTTTACATCCAACTAAATTTGAAACCGACCCAAGCCAATACCTCAAAGTACCTTTTTGGGCTATCGTTTTATTTTAAAGACTAAAACACATTTGAAAACAATTAAGTACCCCTTTAGTAACACACAATTAACAAAGTAAATTAAGAAAATTGTGAATGACGAAGTCTTATTAAGCTTACTTTAGCAACATCCACAATCCCCAAACTTGTAACGCACCTAGTCCCAATAAGGTCCACGGGTGAGCACACAAACCAGTGTCTAAGACTGACTTGTAATGATCAAAAAAGAAATAAAATCCTAACATAGTATATTCACTATATAGTAATAATAAAAACACTGATGCCCTATAGCAACCCCATTTAATAGTATTTAAATTTAAGTGGCCTTTACTGAATAAAACTTATAAAATATAGTCTCTTGAATTTAGACATACAAGATTATATAGTTCCTCACTTAATCTCAAAAAATATGAAAACAGAAATAAAAAGTACAAATTTCTTATAATCTCTCTAAAGCTTCATTAACAGTCTAATGAACACTTTTCCCCTAGCATTACTTACTTTATGAGGACAAGCTATTGTTCTTGGAGCATCATCTTCTTTAATTTTTCTTGGCTTCATTCTTACCAAAAGAAAAAAAGAGAGAGAGAGAGAGAGATTTGTAGGAGTGGGTAGACTCTACTGGCATAAGTCATATAGTCCCTAAAATGGTTTCCTTATAGGTCCAAAAGCTAAGATTACAATATGCTTCCGTGCAGGGGAGGATCGAGATAACTCACATTCGGAATACCTATGCGTGTGCAGCTCTTCCCACTGTCCAGAAAAGAATGCTGATGTTCAGAAAGACTGGGTTGCTTAGGGTCGCAATGCTAATGAGCTGGTGGGGCAGTTTAGGATGGCCATGTTGTGATCTGTGTGACTCAAATATCTGCTCCTTCCCCGGAACTCTTTAAAAGACACAAAAGATCAGCAGCCCAGATAAACAGAGGAAATCTAGTAGGAGGGAAACAATGTATCCAAGAGCAATTGCTATGATAATAAGGATGCTTATACCCAGAGAAACAGATATGGGAGGCTCTTAAAAACATATCCCACCGCCCGGTTTGACTCGGTGTATAGTATCCGCCTGAGCACTAAGGGGTCCCAGGTTCAATTCCAGTCAGGAGCATGTGCCTTGGTTACGAACACATCCCCAGTGGGGGCGGGTTGTGTGTGTGTGTGTGTGTGTGTGTGTGTGTGTGTGTGTGCAGGAGGTGGCTGATTGATGTGTCTCTCTCACGGATGTTTCTGGCTCTATATCCCTCTCCCTTCCTCTCTGTGAAAAAAATAGGTAAAATAATAATAATAATTATTATTAATGATTATTATTAATAATAATAATTATTATTATATATTCTTCAGCCCAGCCTGCACTGGCTCAGTATTTGAGCATTGACCTATGAACCAGGTCATGGTTTGATTCCCGGTTGGGACACATGCCCAGGTTGTATGGGGCATGCATGAGGCAGCTAATCAATGATTCTCTCTCATCATCTCTCCTCTCCTCTCTCCCCATCTAAAATACAAATACTAAATATATATATATATCCTAACACAAATACTTAAAAAGGGAGGGGATCCATTCATACGGACAGAAATGGCCTTTAGATCACACATGGGTGTGACAGCTCTGGAAGGGGAACCTAACTGCTGTTAACTGTAGTGTTGGCTACTTTAGGAGCCCCCGAGGGACTGGTGGACAGACAGGAACACTCATATCTCTTCATTCTGCTTAATTTTTAGCACACTATAGGGTGTTCTTTAAAAATAAATAAATAAATTAAATAAATAAATAAATAAGCGAGCATTTCTTTAAAAAGACAGAGATGTCTGGCCCTGCTTGCGAGAGAGAGAGAGAGAGAGAGAGAGAGAGAGAGAGAGAGAGAGAGAGAGAGAGCGCGAGCGCGCAAGAGAGAGAGAGAGCGCGCGCCAAGAGCTCTGATCCCGCGAGCAGCCAGATTGAGCCCTGCATGTAATTTCTATCCAGAGAGCTTGCTGAGTGGCTAGCTTACCTACCTACTATTTCCACTGAACCAACACTTGATCTTTTGTCAAAACTTTCTCTCCAAATACTCCCTACAGAACTGTGTGCAGTGGGGGTGAGAAATTAAGAGTTCCTAGAAAAAAGATGTACATCTCTGGAACAAATGTCCTTTCTGTCTGTCCCTAGTTTTGCCATCTCACATTCCTACAGGAGGATGCATACTTAATGAACAACTAAGTCAATGACTCCTCTTCAAGAGCCAATTGACCTCCACCTTTTCATTCGAGTTTTGCTGTGATCTTTGTAGTCACAAAAACTATAGTGGTTTATATGAAAGGGTTCTAACTCCAAGTATCAATTAAAAAGAGTAATTAAGGCCCTAGCTGGTTTGGCTCAGTGGATAGCATGTCAGCCGTGGACTGAAAAGTCTCGGGTTTGATTCCAGTCAAATGCCATGTGTGGGTTGCAAGCTATCCTCAGAGTGTGTGTGTGTGTGTGTGTCTGCGCGCGCAGGAGACAGCCAATCAATGATTCTCTCTCATCCTTGACGTTTTCTCTCTCTCCCCCTCTCCCTCCCCCTCTCCCTCCCCCTCTCCCTTCCTCTCTGAAATAAATAAATATATATATGTGTATATATATGTTTTTAAAAAGAATATATCAAAAAACCAAGCTTCAGTCTTCCCAATTAAGAATGTTTTTACCTTTGATGACCCCACTGACGTGTTCTAGGTCTAGACTCTAGAGAGAGCTACGACCACTGTGCCTAGATTCATAAAATGGTGCTCACCTAAAGAGCGCCAATTTTACTGCCTGCAAATTCCCTCAATAAATCATTTTTTTTAAATAAAAAATGCCCATTGGAATGACAAAGAAGTCTTACAGACCCACCCATCTCGGGGTCTGAATGTGGCAGTAGTGAAGGTCCCTATACCAGGAGGGCAGGTATGGCTCAGCTGAGTTTCCACACCCCATACATTTTCTTAGATTATTCCTAGGAACTGCATTTTTAAAAACATGATAAACTTTAAATATACACAAAAGTAAAGAGAATGGTGCTGTGTACCATTTATTCAACTCTTTAATTTTTAAAAATGATATTTATTGAGTGTTCTTTCTTTAAATGTCATTTTCAAAATGTGTGCAAGTTTAAAATGCATTTGGACAAAAAGGAAGTGGAAGTGTTTAATTGCAGTCATTTTTAAAAAATATATTTTATTGATTTTGTACAGAGAGGAAGGGAGAGAGATAGAGAGTTAGAAACATCGATGAGTGAGTCATCTATCAGCTGCCTCTTGCACACCCCCTACCGGGAATATGCCTGCAACCAAGGTACATGCTCTTGACCGGAATCGAACCCAGGACCTTTCAGTTCCCAAGCCAACGCTCTATCCATTGAGCCAAACCGGTTAAGGCTAATTGCAGCCATTTTTAAGCTGCTTGGCAAATCACCCTGCTTCACTCAGAGGATCGAATGAGGCAGTAAATGCTGGTACCTTTACACTCTATTCCAATGCCAACACTAGGAAAAGGTCATTTCCCAAAGAAGTGTACTTAGATGAAAAGAGTTTTGTGAATAGAGATTAAAATCCTCACAGCACCAATTTATATATAATTTGCAAACAAAAAATATATATTCTATATTTGAAATCCAAAAATTGTAAAAAAAAAAAAAAAAAAAAAAAAAAAAAGACTAAAATCATATTACTACCATTTTAAATATTTTCTTGACTTGCCCCAAAGTAGACAAAAGTAGCCAAGATTGGAGTTTTCATGGACTGTGATACTTTACAAAGATCTTTTGATCCAAAGACGACAATGACAACACCAAAGCCACTACAAATGAGACGGAATGGGATGTGCGACTTGATGCTGACTTGTACTAGTTTCACGACCTTGAGCAAATTACTTAACTTCTCAGCCTCAGTTTCTTACTCTGTAAAAAGGTATAACACTGCCTACTTTAGAGCTGTGAAGGTTAAAAGTTGCACATTAAACTCTTGGGAAATGATAGCTATTATTTTATTATTTTTTACCAGCTGGCTATGTGTTAAATGGGCCTAGTTAAAAATGCATTAATTCCTTAAAAAACAAAAACAAAAAAAAACAACAACAAACCAGCAATACTTAACCACCCAGGCCTAGTACTCCATCGAACCACCCTTTCCGTTAAAGGAATGTGAGACAGGAAAGAGGCACTGGTAAAGTAAAAGGGCCTCCTCGAAATTATATGTTAGAAATTATATGAGGAGCCAGGTACCAATAAGAGATGTTTCCCTTTCAATTAACACGGAGAACCCGCTCCCTATGACATGACTGGCTTCATGCTGTCTCATTCTGCATCTGTGGAAGGAAGACATGGTAAAGATTGGACTCCAGGACCAGAAACTGTCAGAATTTCCTGGTATGATTGCCTGCAGGGCATCAAGTAAACCAGAAGTTCCAGTCAAGTTAAATCTGCAATGTCGCAGAGTCGAGAATACATTTCTTTTTTTCCTTTTTAAATATATTTTATTGATTTTTTTACAGAGAGGAAGAGAGAGGGATAGAGAGTTAGAAACATCGATGAGAGAGAATCATCAATCAGCTGCCTCTTGCACACCCCCTACTGGGGATGTGCCTGCAACCAAGGTATATGCCCTTGACGGGAATCAAACCCGGGACCTTTCAGTCCGCAGGCTGATGCTCTATCCACTGAGCCAAACCGGTTTCGGCCTGATAATACATTTCTGAAGCAATGATTCTTGAATGAAAATAAGCCACTTGCCTGCAAAAGCTCACTTGATTCAGACTGGAATCACCAATTGTGACCTGTGCTGACAGGACAGAGGTTTCTGTGTAATACAGCTAGTGTTTGCAAGCATGGTAAGAACTATAAAAAGAATAATGCTGCCTTGGCCAAGTGAGACAACATTCGATAAATGAATTATCTCCTAAATAACAGTGATGATACTAAAGAGATTTAAGGTATTTTCAGCTCCATGATCACATTCATGTTAATCCTGTGATTAAAGTCTCAGGGTGGCCGAAACCAGTTTGGCTCAGTGGTTGGAGCGTCAGGCTGTGGACTGAAAGGTCCCGGGTTCGATTCCAGTCAAGGGCACAACCTTGGTTGCAGGCACATTCCCAGTAGGAGGTGTGCAAGAGGCAGCCGATCGATGATTCTCATCGATGTTTCTCCCCCGCCCGCCCCCCCCTCGCCAAATATATTTTATTGATTTTTTACACAGAGGAAGACAGAGGGATAGAGTTAGAAACATTGATGAGCGAGAATCATCAATCAGCTGCCTCTTGCACACCCCCAAATGGGGATGTGCCCACAACCAAGGTACATGCCCTTGACCGGAATCGAACCCAGGACCTTTCAGTCTGCAGGCCAACGCTCTATCCAAAACCGGTTTGGCTCTCATCAATGTTTCTAACGCTCTATCCCTCTCTCTTCCTCTCTGTAAAAAAATCAATAAAATATATATTTAAAAATAAATAAATAAATAAATAAATAAATAAATAAAGTCTCAGGGTGGGAAATGAACAACAAAATAACCAACCCGGGACTAACTTAAGCACTCTTTATTCTGAACTTTCTAGACCAAACGTTTCCAAAGGGCTAACTTTAGTTAATGAAAAATGTACAAGTTGTCCATTTAATCAGGAATAGAATTTACCAGGTCCCAACCACTGACCCCTTTGGAAGTATTTACTGAAAAGACATTTTAGGAAATAAGTGATCCATAGCTCCACCTTTCAAATACCATGTCTTCCAAGTGTAAGTCATTATACTTGCCCATAGACTTTTCTTATAGCAATTCTCACAACCCACAGATTTCCTGTACTAAACTGCCTTTTGGTTTTCTTTTCACTATATTCACTAGGAAGTCTTCCTTTCGTGTTCACTCTTTTACTAGAATAGATCCTCAAGTAACCTCCTCGGAAAGCATGCATGCAACATAATAATACAAATCTTGTATTTGATCGATAGCTTTGCTGGATCAAGAATTCTACATTTAAAATTTTTCCTCAGAAACCTCAAACACTGCTCCACTGTCAGATAATTTCTTGTTATCTATTGCTGTTGAAGAAGAGTCTCAATCATTCTTTTGTAGATGAGCTATCTTTTCTCCCTGAAAAATTTTTTAGGTTCTTTATCCTCAGTGTTTTGAAATTTCATAAATGGTACCTTTAAGATATCTGGTACCAGGTCCTCAGAAGGAAGGTCTCAGGGAGTCCTAATACAGAGGCAAACCACTTGGGAAATGCAGAGGCTTCTACTCCACAACAGTGACACGTGTCTCCTGGTTTAGGGCTGAAAGACCCTGTGTTTTCTGTTCAGAGGACTGGGAGCAAGCTTCCAGATCAGCGGCTCTGATTCTCCCGCAAGGTCAACAGCGCCAAGGGTTGTCCACTGCTCACTACCCACAGGCTCTTTCTCCAACACTCTCTGCTCCTTCATGAGGTCACATCACAATGTACATTTTAGTGCTGCGTCCCTCCCTCCCTCGGCCTCCTGCAGACTCCTGGCTCTCTCCATGCTGTTCACCTACCCTAGTCTCCTCCTCCTTCTCCTCACCTGAATTATCCTCTGGTCTTCCCCTGGTTCCTCTTACCCTCTGAATACCAGGGTTTCCCCAGGACTTCCTGCAGAGTCTTTTCCCTCCAAAACCTCTCCCTCAGAGAGCTGATTTACCTAACACTTCCAGGCATTCAGCCACCCCTCATCAGCCCCAACTTCCCCAAACCACTTCAAGTCCAGAATGGATGCTTCATTAGCACCTAAAATCAGACAATGCCTTACCCTGAACCCCAGACCAGAACGGTCTCCCCATTTCTCATCATCTAAGGAGTAAAGATTAAAAAAAAAAAAAAAAAAAAAAAGTCTTTATTGTGTGTGTGTGTTTAGTATATTTTTATTGATTTTTTACGGAGAGGGAAGGAGAGGGATAGAGAGCTAGAAACATTGATGAGAGGGAAACATCGATCAGCTGCCTCCTGCTCACCCCCTACTGGGGATGTGCCCATAGCCAATGTACATGCCCCTGACCGGAATCGAACCTGGGACCTTTCAGTCCGCAGACTGATGCCCTATCCACTGAGCCAAACCAGTTTCGACTATTGTGTGTGTTTTTTAATAGAGAAAGGAAATGGGAGAGAAAAATAGATGAGAAACATTGACTGACTCCCTTCTTGGGATGAGCCTGTAATCCAGGCAAGCACCCCGGCCAGGTGGTGTTGAACCAACAACCTCTCAGTGCATGGGACAAGGCTCAATCAACTGAGCCACATGGGCCAGGGCAAGGAGCAAAACTTTTATTACCCTTCCACTATCTCCTCTCACGTTTACTCTTTCACAGCACCCTCTCTCCCAGGCACACCTGACTGCTGTTCTCTGATTATACACTGGATATGGAATGTGTGCACCATGATCATGCCAATCTAGTATGCAGCCACCACAGAAACCCACCTACCCATCAAAGCTCAATGCTCTGCAAGACCCCAAATCAAATGCCACTTGCCACAAAGCTTTCTTTGACCCGGGTGTCTTATTATCTCTACCCCTGAGATAGAGCCTATATCACATATCTCACTAAATTCTGAGTTCCGTAAGGAAGAGGTCACTAACTGTAAGAACACATGACAATATTAAACATTGGCATGACATCTGCCCCAATCTTCCCCAAATCTCTAATCTCACTAATGACTATGTATCCTACAGATTCCATCTATATTTGTCCTGGGGTGAGGATGGGGTGGCTAATATTTGACACAGGCCTGCGTTTAAAATATAAATGGCAGATTAACAGCTGGAACAATGTCATTAACATAAGTATTGAGCTTTAACTTTTTTTGCTAAGCCATAACAAATTAGAAATAAATTAATGTCTGTATTTTTCTCTATAACTAGTTTGACTGGACAGTAGAACAGTGTTGCAACCTCTGTTAAAACATAATGGAATTCTGCCGAAACCAGTGTGGCTCAGTAGATAGAACGTCAGCCTGAGGACTAAAATGTCCCAGGTTCGATTCCGGTCAAGGGCATGTACCTTGGTTTCCAGCACATCCCCAGTAGGAGGTGTGCAGGGGGCAGCTGATTGATGTTTCTTTCTCATCGATGTTTCTAACTCTCTATCTCTCTCCCTTTTTCTCTGTAAAAAAATCAATAAAATATATATATTTTTAAAAACATAATGGAATTCTTAAACTCATTTATTAATATGTGGGGAAACTGAGGCTCCAGATGGCAAGAGGTCGCCCACCTTGTTTTTGGCAGGGTTGGGAGGAGACACTGGATACTCCAAGGCCTCCAGCCCCTTCCTACTCCACTCTCAAGAGAAAGAAAAGAAGGCACCCCACTGATCCTTGAGAGTAGGATCACAGATTCCATTCTTCTGACCCAGTCCTTACTACATTTCCTGGGTGGTTCCAGGCTCCATTCAACCTGAGGCAGGGGAAAGGAGGACCCTCTACTCCAGAGTTATTAGTTCGTTTCATTTTACTTAAAATTTTACATCTCTGTCAACTTTTCTATGCCCTTGTAAAACTGACCAACAATATTGGAAATAAATAATGTAAAAAGGGCAGAGGCGCCAAAACCGGTTTGGCTCAGCAGATAGAGTGCTGGTCTGCAGACTGAAAGGTCCTGGGTTCGATTCCGGTAAAGGGCAAATACTTTGGTTGCGGGCACATCCCAAGCAGGGAGATGTGCAAAAGGCAGCAAATAGACGATTCTCTCTCGTGGATGTTTCTAACTCTCTATCCCTCTCTCTTCCTCTCTGTAAAAAAATTAATAAAATATATTTTTAAAAAGGGGAGGGGGGCAGAGGCTTCTATAGGGAACTCGGCCGGTTTTAGACAACGGATTCAGACCTTCCTTGCTGCTGGCTTCCTTCCCTCTTCAAAGTCACAGGTCCCCGCCATGAATACCTGCACTCTTCCTGTCCCACCAGCTGACATTAACAAAATGCTGGGAGCTTCCCCAGTGTCCCAGTGAATCACGAACGCATGAAATCCTCTCCAGTGGTGAGCTGTACAAAGCAGTAAAGACCCAGGTCTCCTGTAGCTTAGCCCAGGACCACAGACCGCATATAAAACTTACAGGAGCAGGCCAGGGGAAGGTGTAAAGATATCCATTACCAAACAAATTATGTCCAATTTATTTATTCATAAGCAATGTCATTTATGGAATTAAAGAGTATTTATTTCATCTTATTGTCTTCAAAGATCTAAAATGGTGCCACTCACATTAACAGTATAGTTACTATTAAAAATAAAACCAACTGCTTTTGTTTTCAAATGTTTCCCCCTAGAGCAAAAATACAAACCATCATTGTAACTTAGGCACAAAAAAACACTCAAGTAAGATGAAAAGAAAGTTCTTGTAACTTACCTAGCAAATTCTGCCAGTTGTTTGGGATCTGAGAGGTCAATGCCAGGTATTCCTCCAGGAGGAAGTTTCTTTCCTGTCATGTACTCTGAATAATCAGGAGGTGAGTTCTCCCCAATGATCTGTTCTTCAACCACCGTCTCATGGTCAATATCTTTTTTTTCATCTGAAGCACACCAAAAGATGATCTTAGCTATGTAAAAATGTCTATGTGGGCAAATACATTTAAAAAATATATAAAGTGTTTTCATTAGCAGCTTCTTAAATGGGATATTTATAGCCACATCTCAATTTCTTTTTTTAAAAAATATGTTCTATTGATTTTTCACAGAGAGGAAGGGAGGATAGAGAGCTAGAAACATCAACGAGAGAAACATCGACCAGCTGCCTCTTGCACACCCCCTACTGGGGATATGCCCGCAACCAATGTACATGCCCTTGACCGGAATTGAACCGGGGACCTTTCAATCTGCCAAACCTGTTTCAGCCACACCTCAATTTCTTAAACATCCAGTCTTTTTGCTTAATCTCTTAAAATCCCATTTTTGCTTGCAGGTCACCAAAATCTTCAATGCCAAACCCAGCGGGCCTGTCTCTGAATGCTCCTTCCCAGCCCACAGGGCGGTTCCCCAGCACCTGCCTCCCTGGATTCCTCCCCCTCCCCCCTCTGGCTTATCTTCAGCTTCTTGCTTCTCCTACCACCTCTCTCAGAGCTCTGCTTTTGGTCTACCACACACATTTCTTGTTAACCACCAACACTGCAACGAGTCTCACTTTATAGCCTTCCCCTTAGGTGGACTCCTGCCTACCTCTCCAGCCTACTTATCCTTCACTCTTCTCTCCTCACTCTGCTCAACTCCATTGCCCTTTTAGTTCCTCAAATGCAGCACGGCTCAGCGCCTTTCCTCTGCAACTTGCTCGTGATGAGACTTATAACTGTAACTATAGCTGTGCAATAGCTGTCAGCTCTCCCACCAGACTGCCAGCCCCTCCAGGAAAGGGGTGCTGGCCAGTCCTGACCCCATGTATCCGCAGAGCCTTGTTCAAAATCTGCATGATTGGCCCTCAATGAGCACCTGGCTTGAAGAATGTAGGACCATCTCTAACTCAAATCCAATCATCTCAAATTACCATCATCTCAAATCCAATAAAGTAAAGGAATATTGACCCCATAATTAATCTCCTGTATCACAGACATCAAACCCTTTTGATCATTTTTAAAAGGTCTTCTCTCCCTTTCTCCTACCACCATCACCTTAGTTCTAATCATGTTCTGCTCTGATGCTCCAAAGGATAAACTGATACAGAAAATAAAACCTGATACACTTTCACTGGTGGTGCCTCAGCAGAGGTATAAACTACTTCGGCCTGGCACTCTGGGTCCTATGCTGACTAGTTTCATTTTAACACATCTAGGCTCAACCTCTACTTCTCCTGTACACGTGCCCCTCCATACCGCAGCCAGCCATTTCCCCAGGTTAATTCACAAGTGCCTGGCAAGGTACTCCATAAGCAGGAGTTCCCCCCCTCGGCTCTCTCTAATTCCAGCCTACCTCTGAGCCTCCCATTCTTACTCTCAATTTCTTTATTATTTATTGCTATTAACACTGCCAAACACTAAAATAGTGCTATTATGAGTTTTTGTCGGCCTTCTCTCCTAAACTGGAGGGAAAAGCCCAGAGTCCAAACCAGCCTTTTACAGCTCTGGTGGCTAAAAGCAGAAAGTGCTCCAAAAACACAATGTTAACTGAAACGTTCTTTTCCTCCACCAAAGTGATTCACAAATAGCAGGAACACTAGAACTTTCAGAAGTGAAAGCTTGGTTGTCCAACTCTTGCATTACCTTCCACCAGTGTTAAAACCCATGACCAAAAACCAAACCAAATTCTGCAATTAATGTCACTACCAAAAAGAGCACCTAGCTGTTTAGCACCCTGCTCTCTGACACCAGGCATGAGGGAAAGATACAAGGAAAACAGTAGGTTCATTTGATTCAAGTGCAGTTCCTCTCAGCAATGAAAAGCACAGAATACAACTGCTTTAAGTGCCTTTCTCAGCCCATCACTCTCCATTTCAGGAACTCTTGTTGGTCATTACAAGGAATTGCAGAACTGAGAGCAGCAGACATTTCACTGAATGTGTGTGGTGGGGGGGACACTAGTTTAATCACACATATATCACCCTACAAAGTGGGAAAATTAGCAACTGCATTTCACAGAGGAGAAAGATGAGGCACAGAAAAGTTAAGTCAGTAGCAAATGTGAACTCATGAAGTCTAAGACCATGTGCTTAGCTATTACACTCAGCTATCTCTTATTTGGAAATAGAAAGGACTAGATAGAACTGTGCACCTGAAACCTGGATAATTTTGTTAACCAGTGTCACCCCAATGAAATTAATAAAAACAAAAAATAAAATAAACCACTTGATACAATGCCTGGCAAAAACAAACACAAAATACACTAGATAATATCTCCCGAGTTACCCATTGAGAAATGAATATCCATCCAGGAATGAAGGGGTGTAAGAAAACAATAGCCGGGTGTACTAATAAAGTTCAAGAAATGTAGTTATTGATCATAAGTCACGAGGCTGGGCTTCTGCACTGTGACCAGATTCTTTCATCCTTCTTCTTTTCTCGGGGCTGAGGCAATTCTTTCACCTCCAATCTCTCTAACTTACACGACTGCTACTATGCATCAATTAACTTTCAAGTGGCACAGAAACACATTGGTGGGCAGGGAAGCTATTTTTCTTCACTGATGTTTTATATTTCAGATATTAGATGATGCCAAGATTCAGAAACAATGCTGCTCTGAGCAAGCTACGGATGAAAGCACATCTCAAATATGCTGGGGCAGAAAAAGACTGACCTCCTGGCAAAAGGAAGTCAGACTAAATCACTCTATATTAGTTCAAACCGTGACTAAGGGCCTCCTATGTGCCTGGCACTGTTCCATTTCTGGCTGTTCAGGAACAAAAGCCAGAAACAAAACAAAGTTTTTGCTCTCTGTTTTCAAGATCAAGGTGCCAGCCAATTCAGTGCCCAGCGAAGGCCCTCTACAATCTTGCTGTGTCCTCACATATCCAGAATTCCTGTCTCTTCCTGTAAGAACACTAATCTAATTCAACAGGGCTCTATACATAACTTAATTAGTTCCCAAAGACCCTACCCCTAACACCATCACATTAGGGATTAGGGCTTCAGTTTCTGACTTTTGGGGTGACACAAACAGAAGTCAAATAAGGAAATACTTAAGGCTCGGTTCATAAGTTTCAATATTCAAGCTGAAGCATGCGGGGTGGAGGGAAGGATTACACTAGATGATTAAGAATTAGAATACAGCCTTGGCCTGGTGACTGGGTTGGTTACAGCGCTCTTTGGATACACCAAGGTTGAGGATTCAAACCCTATTGGGCACACACAAGAATCAACCAATGAATGCATAAATGGATGAAATAACAAATCCATGTTTCTCTCTAAAATCAGTAATTTTTTTTAATGAACAAAATAAACCCAGAGCAGAGGCTGGCAATCTCTAGAACAGCCTGTGAGTCAAGCTCGGCCTGTTCCACGCCCATTTTCATTGTTTCCCTTTTATCCTCACTTTTAGATATTAACATAGCCCCAGCAGGTTTGGCCCAGTGGATAGAGCTTCAGCCTGTGGACTGAAGGGTCTCAGGTTTGATTCTGGTCAAGGGCACATCCCGGGTTGTGGACTAGATCCCCAATAAGGGGTGTGCAGGAGGCAGCCGATCAATGATTCTCTCTCATCACTGGTTTTTCCTATCTCTTGCTTCCCCTCCCTTCTTCTCTGAAAGCAATAAAAATATGTTGAAAATATAAGAGATAAATAAGGACTGTTTCTGGGCTATTTAAAAAGTCTAGTGGATAGAGTGTCGGCCTGTGGACTGAAGGGTCCCAGGTTCCATTTCGGTCAAGGGCATGTACATTGGTTGCAGGCACATCTCCGGTAGGGGTTGTGCAGGAGACAGCTGGTGGATGGTTCCTCTTATCTATGTTTCTAGCTCTCTATCCCTCTTACTTCCTCTCTGTAAAAAAATCAATAAAATATATTAAAAAAGGAAAGAAAAACAAAAGTCTAGTCTCACCTGCCCTCCATGCCCCAACTAAACTGGCTTTGTGTGATTCAATGTCTGATCTAAGGTTCATGACAGCCCTGGCAGGTGTGGTTCAGTTAGTTTAGAGCTGCATCCTGTACAATGAAAGGTCACTGGTCTGATTCCAGTCAGGGCACATGCCAGCGTTGTGTTCTTGGTCCCCGATAGGGGATGTGCAGGAGGCAGTCAATCGATGTTATACTCTCACATTAATGTTTCTCTCTCTCCATCTCCTTTCTTCTATCTCTAAACAAATAAAAAAATTTTTTTTAAACATCTCTTTCTTTCAAGAGGCCTTTTCTTCCTATTCCTTAACCTTGCTTGGTTAATGAATAAAGAGAATGGCACACACTTTATAAGGTTAAGACAAGATAAGACACTAATGCCAACCATTCTGTCTGGAATTGAGGAGTGTGCAAGAACAGAACTCCTTTGGTCCACTTTTCCTTCCTCCTGGGTTTAAGAAGACAGAAGGTACATGCTTAATGGTTTTTAAAGAATGTAGTAAGCAAGTAAAGAACATAGAAAATTATAGAAAATCTTCAGTTAGGTTACACTTTAAGTCTTTTTGGCCATTCTCAGTGTGTGAAATGTGACGCTAGACTGATGGGAATATAAAGCAGTTTATTTTAGAATTCAGTCCTAAGTGCCGAGACCGGTTTGGCTCAGTGGATAGAGCGTCAGCCTTCAGACTGAGGGGTCCCGGGTTCGATTCCACTCAAGGGCATGTACCTTGGTTGTAGGCACATCCCCAGTGGGGAGTGTGCAGGAGGCAGCTGACCAATGATTCTCTCTCCTCAATGTTTCTGGCTCTCTGTCCCTCTCCCTTCCTCTCTGTGAAATATCAATAAAATATAACTTAAAAAAAAAAAATAGAAGAAAAAAAAAAAAAAGAATTCAGTCCTAAGTAAAGCTTGATTTCCTTATATTTTCCCATCTTGGAATCAGATAACAGTAGTAAGATTTCCTTTTGCACCTTGATTGCCAGGAAGCTCATTAGGATTGACCCTAATGCTTCCTTATTTATATTTTTTACTTCCATAT